TATATATATATATATATATATATGTGTGTGTGTGTGTGTGTAGTAAATGGGCTACCCTCCGAAATAGTCAACTTCCACGTTGTCCCACTCAGCATCTCTTTCACTTCTTGTCCTCCAGATACAGTCATGTTGTCAGTACTATGAAGCAATTGTGGTGCTGAAATTCCTGAAACTAGAGTTATGAAATACGTTTATCACCCACTGATCGCTGTTAATCACTCTAGTTGCTGTTTTGAGCTAACTATTCCTAGCAGTAATGTTTGTAGATAGTGGTTATTAAATGGAATAGTTGACATTCTCTAATCTTGTTTAATGTACAGATAGCAGTTTTCTGATAGCACGTCCAAGAAAATGCTGGACATCAAAACATCTCTATGACTGTTCGGTTTCCAACATTTAAACAACTCTGACAACCTATGTCTCGATTAAAAACTTCCGGACTCATGTAAACAAACTCCATACATGTATGAATTTTATTTTGAATAACGTGTTTCTGATATTAAACTAATGCATGTTCCATGTGTATTTGTTTAATAATGTAGTAACGTCTTTATATGCTGTGTGGTCCCCTTAATGGGCTTATTTGTGAGATAAAACAAAATTTTATATTTTCCACCTCATTTGGTTGATTTAGTTGAATAAAAAGAACAAAGATTTTATTTACTTGTGTGTTTATGTACAATCTTTCAGCTTCGAAACATTCTATTTGAAAAATAAAAATACTGAATAATACATGTTATAGGTCGATACTGCATTTAAAGTAAAGCACTTTGGAATTTAATGTAAGGACCGTATTACTTTATACGTTTGCTTCAGTGGAAAACTCCCGGTCACACCTACACAGTGCACGAGATATTTCTGTTTTTAATGTAGTAACGTGTTTTTAATATAACAATATTAAACACAATGTTTTAAGGTTTCCATCTCGAAAAGTTTTATTGTAATAATTATATGAAAAGGATGTAAAAGGAAGCAGTGTCTAAATTAACAAACTCCAAGAGTTATGGACATATTTAAAAGATGGTATAACCATAGTTTAAAATCTCAGGGAAGACAAATACAACTAGGTACACATACTTGCAAAATACGGGAAACTAGAACTGCTCACCAAAGATGTTAAACCTAATAGTATAAAGTGTGAAAGTTCACAATTAGCGTGAAGACGGCTTGTTTCTTGTTTGTATAGGTGGAACTGTGAAATAAATTATTGAAACTCTTCATAAGAAACGCAAAAAAAAATAAAAAAATAACCTACTTTCAGCAGTGATGTACATGCGAAGGTATTAAGAGTTGGCGGTGAATGGTCTTAACTAACTGCTTTCCCTTTAGTCTATCACTTCGAAATTAACGACTGCTTCGCAAGATAGTCCTCGAGTGGCTTTACGCGAATTTCATAAAACAGAAAAATTATACTGAAAGTTAAGATCTTGAAACAAAATTCTTTACAATTTTGACTAAATTATTATTTGTTTCCGAAGTTTACCATGTCTGTTTCATTTGCTATTTACTTTTTTGTTGTTAGAAAGTTACTATGCCCGCTTTATTTGCTGTACTTTTATACACTGTCAGAAACCTATCTTATCTGTTAACATTTAAAAACAGACAGAAAAAAAAAGTTGCCATTTAACCCCTGGTGGGTAGTGTTTCTGAAGGTTCTCAGAACACTCTGCGTATATTAGCATACTAGCTACAGTCACTTTTTCTCTCGATCCTGCCTCACGGCTGAATCAAATATTTCTAGCTGCAACTAGACGCCTTGTTAGTGTTCTGACGATTAAAAACATACTTTTACAAGGCCAGAGATTTCATGTAAACATCTAACGAGTTTCACAAAACTCACCTGCAATGGTGCCAATAACACGCTGAGATGACAAAACAACAAATGGATCAATTTGATTTTTTGACAGATTAGTATCTAAGTAACGGAGAGAATCTGGAACATCTCGAACCAGTTTCAAAAGCATTTTCATAGTGAAACATGGTGCATGTGGAGGTAGTGGAAAATTGGACGTTGGACTGTTTATGTTATATAAAATAGTGACCACAGTGTACGACCGTTTAAACTGCTTTTTGATCCCGCAACAAGCATTGAGCTCAGGACTTTACGTGAGATGAAAAAAAAAAGTTTAAATGACCGGAGAAGCTTGCACGATAAACCAATTGGTTTGTTTTTGTTTTGAATTTCGCGCAAAGCTCAACGAGGGCCATCTGCGCTAGCCGTCCCTAATTTAACAGTGAAAGAAAGCAGCTAGTCATCACCATCCACCGCCAACTCTTTTACCAATGAATAGCGGGACTGATCGTCACATTATAACGCCCCCAAGGCTGAAAGAGCAAGCATGTTTGGTGGGACGGGGATTCGAACCCGCGACCCTCAGATTGCGAGTCGAGCGCCCTAACCACCTGGCCATGCGATTTGTTCAACGCGGGGAATAGGACCTCAGATTTTGCGTTATAATTTTACATGGTATTATTGATTATCTGTAGAGCGTCGTCTAGACTACAGTAGTTTCTGAGTAACTTTGAGGCTGGTACATTTACGTCGAACATTAGTGTAGTGGTAAAAAAACGAACTGTATATAATAACCTGAATCAGAGGAGATTCTGTCCATCATTAAATGTACACGTTACTTTGTTTAATAAATTGAAAAATGACTTGACTTTAAACCTTGGTTAAGCCAGGATCTACTTACCAGAGAAGAATGAGTAAACGCCAAACGCCACTTTTTTCCATTATGATACAGTTTATAAAGAAATAACACTGAAAGTAATCGACTAAAGTAACTAAAGCACTGTATTACGTGTTCAGGAAAAAAATAGCAAAGTTTAGTATTCTAGTCAACAGTTCGTTGCAATTAGGTAAACCCTAGTGAGAAGTAATGCAATTACTTTTCTTTTATGCTGCACACGTGATTAAGGACCACATTTGAAATCTAATGAATTTCGGGGTTCACTCGCTACAAAGTACAGGATTATAAATTTTGGTTTGTTTTGAATTTTGCACAAAGCTACACGAGGGCTATCTGCGCCAGTCGTCCCTAATTTAGCAGTGGAAGGTAGCTAGTCATCATCACCCACCGACAACTCTTGGGCTACTCTTTTACCAACGAATAGTGAAATTAATCGTAACGTTATTATGCCCCACGGCTGAAAGGGCGAGCATATTTGGTGGGACGGGGATTCGAACCCTCGACCCTCAGATTGCAAGTCGAGCGCCCTAACCACCTGGGCCTGAATTATGAAGCATTTTGATTAACTACAGAAAGTGTTAGCGGACTTAAACGAAATTTTTACCTTGAAGAAATCCAACTGTAAACACAGTAGTGTTAGGTTTTGATCAGCACACCTCATAGGATAAAATACAAACTTGGCCTTTCTAAATGGTCTTATATGATCATCTGCAGTAACGTATTATTTCTACAACAATGTTAGATATGCTTATTCTTTAATAATATTAACGAATATTATTCATTTTTGCTTCCATATTCCAGTGTTTATTTATTATATAATTCCTTATTTATTTCGACTACATAGAAACTTACGAAAGGGAACTAGTTTAACGAGTAGGTGTAACATAGTGGAGAATAATTATGTATGATATTCTATCCTTTTGCTGCACTTGTTTTAAAAAATCTCATTCATGGGTATTTAACTTAATTACTTTAGCTATAAAAGTAAATAAATAAATAAAAAGAGTTTGCGCTGCTTGTTGGATACATTCAATAACACATCAAAATAACATAAAGCTAATCTCTCACGCAAGGTTTCCATGGACTGTGTATGATGGGAAGTTGTCGTACGTAGGCACGTTAAAGAATTTAATTCAACGCTAATCGGCAAGACACTGTCACGTTTCTGCTTGTTTGTTAATTTCCGGTATAAATTATTTCATTCTTGAGTAAAACTAGTTTATTCTTTCTCAATACAACTTTGTAATACACAGTAATTTCACAATCAATACGTTTCTCGTCTCTTTTCTTAACAACTTTTACAAACACACACTATAATCACAGCAATTCACAAGCTCGATAATTTCGCTCTATGCGACTGCAAAACACAAACAGAATCGACTTAACGTGACTCGATTATCTATCTATCCCCAGCTGGCTTTCTTTGCCAGGCTTATATACTAAAAAAGGGGGGCATCTAGATCACACTCGAGCTGCCGGGCTAATTCATAATCATTCGAGAAACTCCAGGGCGCATGCTCCCAGCGTCGCGTGACTTCAGCTATCGTAACAATACATTGTTTAAATAGTCTAGTCATGTACTTGTTTCTTTGATTTGAAAATTAACAAGAAATATATATCTAAAGTTTAAATAATCATCTGGGGTTATTAGTTCAAGTACGCTGATTTAATGTAGAAAAGCCGCGTGTAATGAACAAATTATTCTAAGAACAAACATTATATGGGCACGGATGTCTCCATTCTTGAGAAGGACATGCATCCACTGTATATCGCCAGGAATATCCATTCATGTGAAGGGAACATGCAAATTATACCACCATGGTTATACAGATCATCACACTCTCCTTTGATGAAATTTGTTTTGGATTAAATTCAGCATAAACACGTATAGCTAATCATCGAAGTTTTAATTTGATAATCACTCAAGCAGAAACTACAGTAAAATAAAGATTGGCATTCAATTTAACAAGAAATCAAAACAACTTGTTTTTTCTTTTGCACTTCCACAGACATGTGACTATTTAAGGTTTGAAACTCTTCCCAAAAATTACTATATTTAAAGTAAAGAAAAACAATCAGACAAAGGCTGAAGCTATTGTCAGGCTCAAATGTGTTGCTAACATACACTTTTATAATCAAATAAACTGCCACGAATAAATACGAGCACTTGAATCGTTATGCTTGGGTTATGTGGGTGTTTTGACATCCTTGAGTGCAAGACTTAATAAACTCATTTCGTCTTTACACATCTGTATCTTAAACACACACCTATGTACGAGTTCTCTTAAATAACGTCTAATGAATCAACAAATAGAATTCAAGCATCATTCATTGAGAAAAGTCGAACTAAATATTGTTAATTGAAAAATTAGTAAATTTCAATTTGTTCTATTTGATGGTGGGAACGAGACAGATTACCATACATATTGGTGAAGTTTTTCCCTGATTTTGTTTCTCTAGCTTTATTCTCTCATCTATTATGTAAAACAAGTGTTACATATCTGCTTGTTTGTTTGTTTGTTTCTTGTAGGAATTCTTCAGAGGATCTTCAGCGATACAAGTCCTTTCTTGATTAAACCAGTTTATTCTTCCTCGATACAACTTTTCGTACACAGTAGTTCCACAATTAGTACATTTCTCGTCACTTTACACTTAACAACTTTTATAATACACACTATAAATCACAGTGATTCACAATCTCGATAACTTCGCTCTCGACGAGTGCAAAACACACACTTTACGACTCACTAGCTCGAAACTAACAGAATCATAAATTACACGGAACTCAAAGTAACTACTGCTCTCTTTTCATTTATCTCAGCTGGCTTTCCCTGCCAGACTTATATACTAACGAAGAGGGCATCTCGAACACACTCAGACTTCCCCGATCATTCGAGAAACTTATCACGCACGCT